AATGGGCTCATGGACCACTTCTACGGAAGGAGTTTTTATTCCCGTGGAATTGTGTCCTTATTTATTTATTTGATTTATGTTTATTACTTTTAACCCTTTATTTAATGTATACTGATAGCTATGGACCAGGAGCATGAGCATTCAATATGTATAAACATCAATTCTTTTTTATCTAATTCTAGAGCGTGAAATTAAGTTTTTTTTTGTTTTTTTTATATATGCAAAATCACTATTCAGAGCACTGCACATTACCAGAAAGAGGTAAAATAGTATTTCTTCTTTTGCATTCAGAGAGGATTCTTTTTAGGAGAGCTCCTTGTCTATATTCTTGCCTAGTGGGCTAGTGGGAGCAAACAGTAAGTCAGACTAGCTAGCTATAACAAAATGGTGGGTCTAATCCAAAATCATAAAGCCTTGTGATTGCCACGTGGAAGTATAATACAGAAATCTGTGATGGATGACCACATAATTGGAAAAACTCTGATACACATTACAATTTGGGAGGGGGGTGAAGATCAAATGACTTTCTCCTTCTTCTTTTTAGTGTCCAGTGTCCAAAGAGTCAATCCTAACTCTAGAATCTGTCTAGGTTTCTCAGTCATCAAATACCGTCTCATCCTATGTTCCAACCATACAAATCTTTAAATGTTGGGGGGGCGGGGCCGGGCCACAAGGCTGCATGGCAGCAGAACCTCATGTCTCCCAGGCTGAGCCCAGGAAAACGGCTAAAAAACAGCACACAGAAAACAATAAAGCTGGATTCCTCTACATATTGATGAAGAGGAACACATAAGCTATCCGAAGATACCACACTGAACCCGGTAATGGGATGGGAACATTGAGTCTCCTAAACCGGGCCTACACGCCATAATGAGCCTGGACATGTAAGACACCTGTAGGCGCCCAGATATTGGCCCAACAGGCCGGGGAAGACTGACATCTGGCAATTCTTCACTGAGGACAGCAAAGCCGCAAGGGGTGGCCCGGCCCTGCTTCCCCCCCCGGCCGGTGGGGGTAATCCCGGCCACATGGGGACGACACACTCCAGGGCGGAAGAAACCGCATGGGGCCAACACCGATCCCCTAAACAGGCAAAGGCCACCAGACTGGGGCCCGCCTGCAGACTTACTCCAAAGGAGACGGAACACAGAGGACTAAACAAGGGAGACTGACTGAGGCACCTCGTACTGGCCCTGGCGGTGCCTGGCGCCGGACAGACCCCCCGCGCTGAGCTCCCGACCACTAGTGGAGCGGGCATCTGAGCCTCTGGGTCTGTGGGGTCCTCGGAGAGCTTTTGTCCCTGATGCCGCGAGCCCGGTGGGGCGGGACCAACGCTGCCCTCCCGACGGACCGGTGGTCGGGGGGGATAGCCACCAGCTCCAAATATGTGGCCGGCACCGGGTGAGACAGCAGAGTGCGCGCTCGAAGTGGACTCACGTGTAGCTGGGGAGGTGCAGGGAGCAGACAACCCGAGGATTTTGTGGTTGGGTCCAAAGGACGGTTCGTGCTCCTGAGTGCCCACAGTGCCGCGGAGAGCCCAGCTGGCAGGCGGGGGCCGGCTAGGGGGGGACAAAAGGAGGCCTGGCGACCCAGGGACAGTATGATGGAGACGCAGTGAGAGACTCCTCACAGACGGCCATGCAGGCCGACATGATGATCCAGCAATGCATAAGTTACCTCATCAAGATGTGCTTTCTTACCTCCATATATGAACACTGCATCAGCTCCCATATCACTAGGGAACTAATGGAACATGTAGGACTCTAGTTTAAAAATGTGTAAGCTAGTTCTAGGTTCATACCCTTTATTACTGCTTAACGATATACTGCTCCTTAGTTCATACATACTCAGCTCAGTTTAAAAACGAATATGTCAAAAGTCTGACAGTTTTTATTTTATTTATTCATTTATTGTTAGTTTCAATTTATATACATTGGTTCCACAGCATGCCTAAGGTGCAATTAATAAGACACTATTATAATGCTAATAGACATGATTTACTATCGCCTGACTGGTGCAATACCTCTGCCATTTAAGCTTACCACACCGTACGATCAAGCAATTATTTGAGTTCGTGTGAAACATATATATATAATTTTTTTTTTTTTTTTTTTTTAATTTACAGTATATTTAGCAATGGTATACACCCGATTGCGGCATTATATACTAAATATTTACATAGGTGCACCCCGGCCTAAAACTGAATATGACAAAAGAAGGCAATACGTGGTGACTACATTAGATATCATTAAGTTTATATCATTTGATATTATTGAATGTTATTTAAGGTTTCCGTTCAATTCGCGAGAAAACTTGATTACATGTGGCTAAAAATTGGCTCACAAAGTGACCAGCAGCGCATGAACACAGCACTGAACTTAAATGCTTAGGTAGGGTCGACGACTGACAGCCTGTAAAATCATACTGGACCTCTGCGTAGGCCCCAGCTTATTGCTTAATTACTTTTTAGTACAATGAACCTCTGCGCAGGCAACACTGCAGTAGCATACACCTGCTCAGCCGTAGGGTATTCGATAAGAGGCTTATTAAAATAACACACTAGGCCATAACATATGCCACACTGCCACATACCACCTCCCTGAGACACAAGCAGCCACATGCCGCTCGCGCCCACAGTGAACATACATCGAGCACTGTTTAAAACAGTTAACGCAGACATCTGGCTTGAGAAGAGCCCGCTTAACACTCAGGGACCTGAACATAACTGCAACTTATTAAGAGATATACACCCCATCTTTACCGTGCATTTAAACACAAATATACTCCTTATGTTGAAAGTTCGAAAGTTATTATTTTTAATGTTTGTATATCTACTTCATAGCATACCTATTGTGCAAATAAGGAAACATTGTCATAATGCTAACAAATATGATCTACCATGGCAACACAATGCCAGACAAATGCACCGCTTTGGCCACAAAAGTGATAAAGTCCACATAATAATACAGAGTACAGCATATTTAACAGCATGTTTAATAATGTGGTAGTATGTATATCCTTTTACCAGAACTGCATTGATAACACGGGCCTACATCAGACTGTGCATTATGAGAGGATTGTTTTGTTTTGACAGACCATCAGCCCGTATAAATATCCAGTGTTGCATAGTTCGGTGCAGAGTACATATAGGATAACATTGAGCGGTGAGCACTAGATACCAAATGAAAAGTGTAACACATTATAAAGCTATAACATGATATGATAAACTTGTACACATAACTACACATGTTTTTTCATAACGGATGCATTGTTTACGCTTTATCCCCTGCGTGGGAAAACTGCTTATTGTGTTGACCTCAATAAAACAGATTTAATACAAATCTTTAAATGTTTTTTAAATGTTATGTATATATGTACCTAATCGAGGAATGGCCAGGTTACTAATCACCACGAATTACCTCTTATTATATTGTAAAACACTGATAACATGGAAAGTTGGTTCTGGATTGACCCTTATAAATTAATAATGTAAAAATATTTTCAGAAGCCACTGGATGCAAACTTCATTGACCCTAGATGCCGATACGATAAGATACTAGATGATTAAATGTAATGTTTGCTTGCCATAACAGATCCTAACATTTCCATAATTTTTAAAGTATATAACTAAGCAATTAGAAATTGTAATACAAAATTCTGTGATGATGTGGCTTAGGGTGTTGGGAGAGAGTGGATAGAAGTCATCGGATGCAAACCATGGTTTGGAAGGATGCACTTTCCGTTATTGTAAGTCATTTTTGTTTTAACCTTTATGAGCACAAGACTTTAGGAATAACCTTATATGCTTCAGGCTAATATATCACATAGAGATAAATGTTTTCATAACTGTATGTCGTTTCTTTTCAAACACAGGAGAGCGGACTTTAATTTATCTCAATATGGAGCACACACCGGAACTGTTTCTGCAGATACATCCTCTACTGTCATGGCAAAAATTAAACTGAGAATCAAAAACAATTTATTATGACATCCACAAGAATACAGGAACGTTTTGGAGAGGATTTCTAACTGGTCATTAAGAACTATGTGAATTTCTACATTGTGCAGTTACATTTCATGTGACAGAGGGGTAGGCACATGAATGCACACATCAATGAAATGGTTAACCCTTCTGCATACTACATTGTAGATGATAAATTCCATAATGGCATTGGGCAGAAGTGGATAAATGTTGGCTTCCTTACTTATTGCAAGCGTCAGGGTTTACCTGTTAGCTATTCCTGACTTCAGTGAGGCTCTATCCAATATGTGGCCCGATAAAAAAAAGAGGCAAGGGGAGACCTAGTACTTTGATGGAATTCTATTAGTGAGAAATAAAATGCACCAAGGATTTAAAGGTTTCCTTGGAATTATATGGACACTCATTGCTCCTGTCCAGAAAATATATATTTTTTCATATCTTACTAAAAAAAAAGGGGGGGGGGGGAGTCCCTATAGGTTGGGACGTAAAGTGTGTCCAGAGAGCCTTTAAGCAGGGGGTAACCCTTATAATTGAAACAAAAAAACATATGTTAAATTGTGAATCCATACCCCCAATTTTTCCTACAGGGCTCAGTAGTTCTGTTCAACAATTTAGACGTGTTGGGATTAATTTAGGTTTATTATTAATTTTTTCATTGTTACTTATGTTCTGTATAAATAACATGTGTTTTTCATTGATCCTATATGTGTTTGCATACCAAGAGGACTTTTGCTGTGCTCCTTGGACTTTATGTCCTTGCATCACTTTAGTGAGTTTTTTATATTTTTTATATCTTGAAGCACCGACAGCCTGGACATAGGAAGGTGTACTTGCCATTCAGAATGCCTCAACAAGTCCAGCTATTTCTGTGCTAGAGTGATGGGAAAGTGCTGAAGCCATCATTAGTCTGGTGGACTATTACCAACCCTTTTTTGGCCTACTTAATGTAAGAATGACTACATGTCATAGATCTCTGCCAGTAAGTTCTATTGTTACATTTGTAACAGCTTCATGATCTATGGCTTCAGCATCACCTACAACATCCACCACTTCCAGCAAAACAGTCTCTGCAGCCTAACCCGCTACGCCACCATCAGTCTCTACAGCATATCCTGCTACACCACCCGCTACACCACCACCAGGCTCTGCAGTTCTACCCCCTACACCATGAACCTCTACAGCCTAACATGCTACACCACCACCAGCCTCTGCAGTCTAATCCACTACACCACCATCAGCCTCTGCAGTCTAACCCGCTACACCATCAACCTCTACCGCCTAATGCACTACACCACCATCAGTCTCTACAGCCTAACTCGCTACCCTACCATCAGTCTTTACAGCCTAAGCCGCTACACCACCACCAGCCTCTGCAGTCTAATCTGCTACACCACCACCAGCCTCTGCAGTCTAACCCGCTACAACATTAGCCTCTAGTGACAGATCACCCTGTCCCTGGATTATTGAACATCTATTTTTACATTGCATGGTCCGGTATATGAACGTCACCGAACGGATTGTACCTAACAGACAGATTGTACCTAACAGACAGACCACCCAGAACAGTCGTGTGCCACCAATTGACCTTCTCAACCCTCATTATCACCTTCGTAACTGCAATTACCACAGCCTCCTAAGCAGTCGGCTGGGTGGCCGCCATTCGTATGGATGAACACGTGGTGGCGGCCATCTTTAGCCACAAATGCGTACAGCAGTGTTTGATCATCGAGTGCATGGAACTATAATTGGGCACTTGATGGTGCGAACACTGCTGGGACTTACATCCCCATGCACGTTTGGCTCTATTCGTCTTGCCTCAGTGCCTTGTTGTGGTCTTTGGTTTACTATTGAGCATTGCACTTGTTATTTGGATTTCCTGGTTACTGATATTTGGCTTTGTCTCTCGTTATTCCATCTCTCTATTTCCCTTGACCTCGGCTAGTGTTTTGACCATCCCTTTTTGCATAACCCGACCATTCTAAGGATCGTATTGCAATTCTCTCTACTCTGTCCTGTCTGCGTGTTAGGTTTCCTTAGTGAACGTTACAGTAATAAACCTCTTGCATGGGGAGTTGCATATAAGGCTGCATGTGGCTCCCATTAAACTAGTTCTACTTCACCCTCAACACAGAGCCTCCTCTTGTGCTTGTAGGGAACAACTATATCTGCTTTATTATCGCTTGGATTACTGCTTGGGAAAACTACAACATTACTCGTCCTAGGGGGAAAGAACATCTCTGGCTGTGAAAAACGCTCTTCTCTCAGGGTGGCCACCACACCTCTACAGCCTAACTCGCTACACCAGCACCAGTCTCTGCTGTCTAATCCACTACACCGGCACCAGTCTCTGCCATCTAATACACTACACTACCACCAGTCTCTGCCATCTAATCCACTACACCACCATCAGCCTCTGTAGCCCAACCTGCTACCAGAAATGTTCTCAGATACATCCAGTGTTATCCAAACACCTATATCTGGTTTTAAGAATCCCAAAAGTAAATAGATATCTCACACATTCTTACTGTCGATCATATAATACAAAAATATACAGTTTTTATACAAATATGAATTAAAAAAATAGCTATGATCAAGAGATCTCTATCAACAATCCAGCAGCCAGACGACACAGGGACTGGAGTCAATACTTGGCTGAATTGAGGAATAAAAATGGCTAAATAAATCATGGATTCAATAGCTGTTAACATCTGAATAGTAAAGGGGAGTACATTGCACTGTGGAAAGAGCCCAAGCTATTTTTATGTATATTTTTTATTGAGGATTTTCATAGATTTCACTCAACGCACATAAACAATGGTCACACAGTTTCATAATTACAAACTCGAGAGAAAAAATCGATGACGTTTAAGATGCTTGTGAGAGTGACTGAGCCCAAAGAGAGGGCTTGCTACATGAGGGATGTAATTTCCATCCTTTCATATCCATTATCACTAATGCAGAGAGTGTGCTACTTCTCTACATTGTACACTACAATTGCCTCTGCATTTCACGTTAGTAACCAAACTGCAATAAAACAAAAATAGGCAACAAACAAAGTTATGGGGGACCCATAGTAGAGGAAGGATTATTCCTTGTCCTGATATTTATTTCATGGCTACAAACCTTCCAAACCACATCAAGTAGCCCATAAGCCTGTGAGACACTTCCTCAAAGTTTCAAGTAGACAGAAGTGCTTCAAGCATTGACTTGATTGGGGGGAAGGGATATGGGGACTTCCAATGTCTCGCCAAGTTATTTTAGGCTGCTACCAAGATATGCGTTATTAGGTGAGCAGTATGCTTTTTAATTACAGTCTAAAAGGAATCACCTGTCCCTGATAGTACGTTAATAGTGAATTTAAGTCCCAAACACTCAATTATTAGGAGAAGTTGAGACCATTGTGACATATTAATTAGCTCACTTGTGCGGAGCTCAAAGAAGCTGTTAAGAGTCCTGAGTCCTGATATAAGAATATTTTTATGGTCTGTCATTACAATCATTTTTTTTTCTGCCTTACTAACAAAAATGCACTTGCTGCTCCACTACAATCACCAGAAAGCAGAGAAGATAAGGAGAGCAATTGGTCCCCGGTACAAAAATATCACGCTTCATTTTGGAAACCAAAAACATGTAATAATGTTTCCTCCTACTGCTTTCTTTCATTTATAATATTTCGGAATCATTTAATATAAGGTATGCTCTTAAAAATCTAGTTTTATAAGGTAAATCAAACCAAAGATAAATCAAATAGATCCGATGGAAAATTCCCTGTGTGTGTAGGTCCTGTGCAGTAGCTTGGAATAAGCAGAGAATTCTTTACCATGCTTGGCTGGGGAACGTTTTATGATAAATGTGTCTGTTTGAGTGTCTTGATTGTTTGGCATGTTATGTACTTTGTGCTTTGGAAAGTGATGAGTAATATGTGGATCATCAAACGATTACAGCTACAGATCCTAAAGGGATGTTTAGAAATGAATCTCACTATTTATTTAATTACACTTTGCCATGATGATAAAATGCCGTATGCCGCAGGACTGTAAAATTACTGTGCTACAAAATGTCAAACAGAGAGCAGAGATCACACGACTCGACTCGAATTTGCAAACTATAGCAAAACTGGATGGTGTTCCAGGGTGTAGATGGTAGGTGATGATGGGCAGAAGCCCCCACATAATTTTGTGGGGGATGAGTGTGTGCAGATCTCCCTAGTCATAGTGGTCTAGCTTTGAAAACCATATGCTTTACTGTTTATAGTGGAAATGTAACTTATTGAGTTCCTTCTTTTCTCACCACGGTAAACCCTATGGTTGTAGAGTGTCTAGGAGACCTCAGACATGCCTGGTACTCCTTAATTTTAAATTCAAAAGCATTTTAAAGAGATTATTATACAGGGAAGGGAAAATACCAAATAGTTTGTACACTGAGCTAACGACCCTTTAGAAGAGAGCACATGAGAGTGTGATGGACTATATTATACAGATATATGCAGAGACAGTCATTACAGCACCGATACATGCAGGAGAAGCGGTTGACGGTTTGCTGATTGCAATAATTCTAAAGGGATCATTTGTTCATTATCCCAGAGGGCTCCAGAAAATGTGAAGCTGCTTCTGCTTCTACTTTACGTAGTTGGATTTCCAATATCATCACAAGGCTTAAACTTTAAGAGGTTTTTTTCTCCTCCAAACAAGGTTAAGTCTCATTCTACGAGGTCGTTGGCCACTTTATGGGCTAATTGGGCAGAGGTCTCTCCTGATGACATCTGCAAGGCAGCAATGTGGTCTTTTCCTATGAGCTTCATTAAACACAAGCTGGATGTAGCCACTTCTTCCACAAAGTTTGGCAAAGTGTTTTAGCCTCTGTTAATTCCACATAATAAACCTGATTGTTCTTGCAGTGATTTAGTGTGGTTTCTCCCCCACCCCCCAGTTTTTATAGTAAGCTTAGGTATTACCCATACGTAATGCTACCATTCTTAGCCATGAATTTCAAAATTTTATTTCATACTTACCAGTAAAGAAAAAATTCCTGGCTATTTATCATGGCAGCATCAGGTACCCACCTGAGATTTTATCTGAGCTATTCAATTGGACTGATGTATGAAGGGGGAGGAACCTTTTCTGCCTACAGTCTAGTTAATTGTTTAATTGTTTTCTGTCCTGATCCGGCTGAGGGTGGAGCTACCCATAAGTGATACAGCCATGAGAAATAGCCAGGAAAAGAAATGTACTGGTAAGTATGAATTACAATTTCGATAATGTGGAGTGACATTATATAATGGGACGTTGGGAGTAACTGGTAAAATGACAATAAGTAAATTTGCATTACAAATCAGTTCCTCGATTTATCAGTCCATTTGAACATTTGTGGGGAAAAAACAAAAAAGCTAATTTTGCTTTTACGTTAACAACCTCCAATGAAATGACAGACATAAAACTTTAACATCAACAAATTTTCACACATGGGTAAATATTAATAGTAAATAGTAACAGGTAAATCTTAATTTCTGTGACATATCATTAGTTTGCTCAATATTTACTAAAGCAGAGTCTTGCACTCCCCTTACTGATTATCTAACTTCACACAATCCTCATGCCTAATATTTATTTGCACACAAAAATATTTCAAATCAATTATTTCAAAGAAACATGCAAAATGTACCAGTTATTTGACTCATAACTCTCTGATGAATTACTTTCAATCAACCAATCAGAGTGTTGTAATGAGTCAAATTACACAGTGTTGGAAAAGTCCAAAGAACTTTCCCACGCTGTGTAAATTGACCCAGAGCACTCTAATTGGCTGCATTTTAAGCTAACCCATCAGAGTGCTGTGACAGGTAAATGTAGAGACTTACGGGTCAGTCTCTTCATTTACCTGTCAGAGCACTCTGATTGGATGGCTTAAACCAACCAACCAGAGTGCTTTGAGCCTAAGCCTAATTGCAGGGTGGAGCAAGGCTTTATAAGCCTTCCCCCGCCCTGTGGAGCTCAGTCTGCGCAGTACCCTCTATGGGTGAATATTGATTTCTTTTTTACCGCTCAGGGGTGGGGGCCAGGGGGGAGGACAATAGGTCCTCCCCTTATTCTAATTTAGGGCCCCCACCTGCCGCTCAGGGTTGGGGGCAAGGGGGGAGGACAATAGGTGACCCCCCCTTATTCTAATTTAGGGCCCCTACCCGCTGCTCATGGTTTGGGCCGGGGGGAAGGACAATAGGTCCCACCCCCTTATTCTAATTTAGGGCCCAGACTCGCCGCTCAGGGGTGGGGGCCGGGGGGGGCAATAGGTCCCACCTTCAGGTTAGAAGCCCCTACTCGCAAGGCACGGGTGGGGGCTCGGGAGGTGGTTGCTCACTGTTTACTAGACATGCCCCTACTCGCGGTATAGCGAGTAGGGGCAGAATTTACTAATACTAAGTAATTTTTACTTA